ATCTTGCCTTTGATTCTAAAAAAGTTACAACTATAGATAAAGATTGTGCAAAGGAGAAAAAATGAGTGGTAACACAGCATCGAGGGAAAATTAGTAAAAATAACTAATCTGATACCCTAAATCAGCGAATGCAAAAAGGCTAAGAAAGGCGAAGTGGTTAATAATTGCAAGAAAAAAAGCTTTCTCCAACCTTTCATCGCAATCTTGAAGTAATGAATGTAGGAACTAAGTAGGGCGCTGCGACCATGCATGTCCAGACAAGAGTCTAGTAACATAGTACAAATCTTCACCAACTGACCGATCGTTTCGAAACACGCAGACGAAAGAGCCTCTGAAAATTACAAAACGATTATTATCAATATAAATAACTAAGAACGGGATGATTTTTGGTAGATTTGAATAGAGAATATGCTCCCATGAGTTTCAGCAGCCTACTTTATAAGTTAACATAACCCACAAAAACAAGTTAATTTACTTCAACTCTGATATGAAGCAGATAGATATACTGACCTGTATATGGACGATTAGCGATGAGGGCAATGAGCTTGTCCAACACATTGTACAGATAAGCTACCATCGGTTCTGGCCTAGCTTTCGTAACACCCTGCAATAGATTTTTTAAAGTTTTCTCGGAACAAGCAAGTGTATGTGAAGATGTGAAGAGGGAGTGCACCTAACTTACAGACAATAAAACCTAGAATCAAAATATGAAGAAAAGTGGAATGAAGAAGAGATAAAACCCTTGTATGAATGACAGCAAAAAAATATTTTGGTTCTTACTCGTTCCTATTGTGTCATTAACAACTGTACAAATATAGAGTATACCAACCTGTGCAGCACTGATCAAAGCGCTTTCACCTATGGGTGGTTTTTTCCTATCAGTCGAACTCAGCGAATTTACACCAATAAAAAATCTCTCCAAATGTTCGTCCTATAATCGATTTATAAACTCAACAGGCACGAGATGTGAGCTCTTTTTTACCTGCGGATGGACCGTGCTGATGGCTGTTATGGCGAGATTGAATGTCGGTTTGTGCGCATCAAGCCATCGCACATTAGGTAGGGCAACGTCTGGAGAGAGATATCCATAACTGGATGGAAGGCGATCGAGACATATAGGCAGGTGGAAATCACCAGTAGATAAACGACCGTCACGAAAAAGAGGTAGCCACTGGAAAGAAGAGATAAGATTTACTGGATGAAAACAGCTTAGACTAAACCTACACTATATCCTATTGGATACTCCACTTCTTCATCTTTGTTGTTCGGCTTACAAGATATATGATAAAAACTAAATAACAAGTGATGACCGTCGTCCAAGTCTATAGGAATACGAAGTTTGATTTCATCAGCTATATGAGGTGTCCTAGGAAGAAAACATTTTTTGGAATATCAAACTATGTAATGAATATTTTCCGACACTCACTTGTTATGATACACTACAGCCGTTCTGATCTGTGATACCATTTCACATCCCGGGCCTCGAGAAAA